ATCCACAATATAATTAATCTTAAGCCATATAAAGAATTGGGGAACATGTGAGGAAGCTGACTCACCAACTTACCTTTTTCTATGAAATTATAGAAAATAAGTGTTTTTTGTTTTTGTTTTGTTATCATTCTATTTTTTTATTGTATTCCAATTCACCATAACTTCGTCGTCTTTAGGAGCATTTCTCTGAATTTTACTTTAATCAGCCGTTCTGAGTATCATAACTTTGATTGAAGTAGGGGGGTGATGTGCCGGTTTGGAACCCCGCCACTGGTGTGCGATAGTTGGCGAGGGGTGCGCGAAGTGAGGTGAAAGGGAATGTACGAGACTGAGAAGGACTGGTCATGTAGGGGGTAGGGTAGGCAGTGAGTCGCAAGCGTTGAGATAGAGTGTTACACTCCGCTGCGATCACACATTTTTCTTTCGTACCTATTTGTTTGGCCATAGTTGGCATGATTATTGTTGAGAAACTGTGTTTATAATTTAATAAAGAAATCTGATAATTACTCGCATATTCGATACCTTTTTTCGAATCATCTCACGACCCACTACAATTATTCACGTCCTCGTTCACGTCTCTCAGTGAGTCATGATTAATATCACATGTATGAGAAATTTTGTTGAAGTTATCACACATAATATAAATTGGAGATTTCAGCATAATTCTTGTTCTAGTAGCAATATTGTAGAACATGTTCGATTGTCTACTGAATAATCTTGGAATGAGAAAGTTTATGTGATTAAGAAGTACAGAGCAATCGATTTGGAGCAATCGATTTGGTTATGCATTAATTTGTAAAGAAATGTCACACTCAAAATTATCCGACGTCTCTCTAGAGAGATCATTCCGAAATTATCCAAAAGGATTTGGTTATCAAAAATTAAATAGTTGAGTATAAATTATTCTGGTATATTTCAAGTTTTCAAAAAACTAAATTCTATGGCAGCAAACAATTTCGGTCGTTATTACGTCGGCCCAAAACCTGCTTGCCAGAAGTTGCCGACGCGGCAAACGACGTCTGTCAGACGTCAATAGGTCACTCTGGCCGCGTTCCAACATGCCACCTTTGGATTACGAAGCCGAGATCTTACCATCTAAGCCATTATCACTTTATGTTAGATATTGACTACCGATAACTTATGAGTACCATCAATGAATACTTATCATAATCATATCATAACAGGAGACAAAAATTTCTAATTCTCCGATGAAGTAGACGAGTTTCTGTGACGCACCTGAGTTTGTTTTGAATTTCTTAGTGAAATATTGTGACTCCATTAGGTGGTAGGTTTATTTACCTATCAGCGAGCAAATATCGGATACCTATACAACGGAATGTTGAAGAACGAAAAATAATATAATAAGTGAATTGACGTTTACTATTCGTCCATCACTGTCGAAAGGATCCCCTGGAGAATATAATAAAAATATAACTACCTATTTTATTATACAGGGTGAGTCAAAAATGTGTACCGAGCTTTCTGGGGGTGATAGAACATTGAAAAATAAGTGTAGTTTGATGATTAAACTCATGGCCCAAAATGCATATTAAGGGAGATATATCCTTCCAAAGTTGATAAAATTAAAATAATTTCTCCGCATAACTTCTGAACGATGAAAGCCACCCGATTGAAATTTTGTGCATGAATGTATGATATTGTCAAAATACATTTTTTCGTCACACTTCCACATTTCTGATATTGTTATAAAGGGTGTTTTCAGAGGGTGAGTCATGATTTTTTGTAGAAAACTTTTTTCCCTGTTGTATTTTCGGTGAAAAAACAGGAGCATTTGATGGAGCGAAGAAAATTACATGGAAAAGTTACTCTTATTCAAATACAAAAAATTGAGCCGTTCGTGAGATATTTGAGTTTTTGTAGTTACATGATATCAGCAGATTGGTTTTATTCATCGCGAGATTCATCGGTATAACGATATTTCAGCAGGCCATGAACAATTTTGTTTTTAATTTTGTCGATAATATCACCTCCCTGTGCCACGTTACTGAGCAATAAGTACATAGCATAGCATAAGTCTGTACCAACAAGGTTTGAATAAAAATAAAAGTTTGATAATGTTTTTGGTACTTTTAATTAACAAATAATTTTGAATGGAAGAAAAAGGAAAAAAATAAATTATAGTAGCTGTTCGAAATGTCCACCGTTTTCGGTTATACATAATCTGAGGCGTTTACGTAAATTATTCATCAAACCGTTCATAGTTTGGTGATCATTTTTCAACAACGTAAATTCGTTCACAATTTTTTGCCTCAGCTCCTCAAAATTCCGAATTTCGCTTGAATAAACCCTAGATTTTATGTAACCCCAGATCGAAAAATCTAGTGGATTGAGGTCAGGCGAACGAGCGGGCCAGGAAATAGGAGCGTCTATGCCTCGTCATATCCACCTATCAGGAAAATTATCATTAAGCCATTCACGTACAACTCTTACATAATGAGGTGGTGCTCCATCATGCATAAAGCAGATTTCCCTACGTATGTTGAGAGGAATGTCTTCTAATATCGTACCTAACTCATTTTCTAAGAAGTTGAGGTACATTGCCCAGACGTTCACTTTGAAATTATATTAAAAATGCGTTACTTTAACAACGTGTGGATTCTCGTCAGCCCAGAAATGAGTGTTGCGCGAATTGAAAACACCGTTTCTAGTAAAAGTTGCTTCGTCTGTGAACGATATTTTGTTTAAAAACTCAGGACATCTTCGAGTTCGTTCCAGCAACTGTTCGCAAAATCTCAATCTTATTTCATTGTCTCGTGGTAACAGTTCTTGTACCTGCAAATAATGATAAGGGTGTAGCTGTTGCTCTCTGAGAATCCTGGTTACATTCGCTTGTGTTGTGTCTATTCGTCTTGCTAATTTCCGTGTACTTATTTCCGGATCCTGTTCCACAGTATTTAATACTTCTTCTTCAACTTCTACAGTTCTCGCACTTCTGGGTCGGCCACCATTTCTATTATTGGTTTTCAAACATCCTGTTTCACGCAGTCTTTGTACAATCCTCAAAATTGTTCTCGAATTTGGAACGCGTCGAGCGGGAAACATCTCTGCATATCGTCTCACAGCAGCATTTGCATTTCCGAAGCACTCGCCAAGCATTAGAAGCATATCAGTTTGTTCAGAGAACGAATAACCTGCCATATTTCTTAAAATCTCAGTTGATAATCGCAGTGATAAATGACACAGAAAAACCACACGAACAAATCAACTACAACAATGTTGACTCGAATGTTGATGACATGAACGTCAAAATTGAGAACAAAATTATTCATCATGGCCTGCTAAAATATTGTTACCGATGAATTTCGCGATGAATAAAATCAATCTGCTGATATCATGTAACTACAAAAACTCAAATATCTCACGAACGGCTCAATTTTTTGTATTTCAATAAGAGTACCTTTTTCATGTAATTTTCTTCGCTCCATCAAATGCTCCTGTTTTTTCACCGAAAATAATACAGGGAAAAAAGTTTTCTACAAAAAATCATGACTCACCCTCTGAAAACACCCTTTATAACAATATCAGAAATGTGGAAGTGTGACGAAAAAATGTATTTTGACAACATACATTCATGCACAAAATTTCAATCGGGTGGCTTTCATCGTTCAGAAGTTATGCGGAGAAATTATTTTAATTTTATCAACTTTGGAAGGATATATCTCCCTTAATATGCATTTTGGGCCATGAGTTTAATCATCAAACTACACTTATTTTTCAATGTTCTATCACCCCTAGAAAGCTCGGTACACATTTTTGACTCACCCTGTATATAAATTTTTTCATCATAAAGTAAAGATATATTTTCATCGAAATTACACAGGAGAGGGCTGATGTGTGGGTAATATCATATGATGAAGTCTGGTAAAGCGCGGATGCCTTTTATTTTCCTGGTGCCGGCTGGATTATAGTTGAATGATTTCAATATATCATACAAAGAGCCGATGCTAAGACGACGTAGTGAAATGGCATCACGATTTGATACTACTGGTCCAGTGCTGGCTGGATTATGGATCCACGATTACAATATACCATACAATGGGCCGACGTTCGTCCGTTGCAGCTCAGCCGTTGCCAGCACTCAGCCGACTGATCATGCATTGGGCCAGAGATTCAATGTTTGCTGGGATGCTATGGTTCTGCCTGGGGTTCTGCTAGGTTGACAAAAAGAACTCAGAGCCGTTGGTTTTTTCTGTTAAATGAAGGGTTATGATTTTATGGTGATAAATTATTTATTTATTGAGGACTCAATAGAATTTTAAAAACCATGTGATTCAAGTTTTGGTCCTGCTAGCTCAAGTGTTAGCTTGAGATCGCGATAGACAAATCGGCGTTTTTCGATCGAATGATGAATAAACAAATCGTGATCATAGTTATGAGTTGGTAATAAAATAGTAATAAATTATAGTATACCTATTTGAAGTTCTGCTAGGTTGACATAAAGCTAGCAGAGCAGTTGGTTTTTTCTGTTGAATGAAGGGTAATAAATTCGCAAATATGGTAATAAACGAGTCTGAAATTTTGAAGTGGTTCAGCTAAGTTTGTTGGGGTTAGGTTAGGTTCCATGTGAGTGGGGCGAATACCACCCCTCCACTGCGACCCCAGATGGGGTTAATTATTTTTCAATGCGATTCCCGATTTATTGTTATAGACTCTCCTGTTTTTTTGGAATTGATTAATAACTTAAATTTTACACAAAATAATTTAGACAGAAGGACCTCGCTTTAATTGAGTTGGCTTTCAACCTGCTTGTCATTATGTGACTGTACTTAATCTACAACTATTTAAACAACAGGAATTTGGGACTTCAATATAAAAAATCAAGAATATTTATTCAGTATGCAGCTCCATCTTTTGATTTGATTATATCAGCAGTATTTCTTGCTACAAATTATACTTGTACCAAGACTTATACATACTATTATAGATTCAGTACCTGTACATGCATTTGGACTAAGACCATTCCACTTGCTTCTTTATAGGTTAAGAGAAGCTAGTTGCATAAACAACTCATTGATGAGCCTGAGAACTTGCATGGAGATTTTGCGTGAAAATCAGCGCACCAGAGCAAACAAAGTTGTACCGTACCGTGATAGTAGATTGACCTACCTCTTCAAGAATTATTTCGAAGGTGATGGTACAGTACAAATGATAGTTTGTGTCAATCCCTCCTACAATGATCTAGACGAAAACCTTCATGTCCTGAAGTTCGCTGAAATTTCTCAGGACGTGAAAATAACCAAATTTAAACCTCAGCAAACTCCTCTTAGTATTAAAAAAACAATAAAGAAAAGGGCAACCCCAGCCAAGATCAAAACAAAGGCTCTATTTTCTGTGCTACCTGAAATCCCATTTATCAAATTCGACTTCAGCAACGTGGAGGAATGTGGCTTGCAAATTGATAAGGTCATCAAGAGCCTTGAATTCTGCAAACCAAAAATAAGCGAGCTCGTTGCGGAGATCGACAAGACAGATCAGAGTTTCAGAAAGAGGCTTGTTGATATGGAGAATGATAATGTGCAAAAGACCCTACAAGCAAACAGCTACGACCACCAGCTACAAAAGCAGAAACAAAAAAATAACAATCTTGTGACGAAAATAACCCATTTGGAATCGTCCTGTGGCAGTTTAGAGGCCAAGAACAAAGAGCTTGAAGGAGTCATTTGTTCTCTGCATAACATGATCGATGAGAAAGATCTGAAATTGAACCAAAAAATTCTAGACAAGGAAAAGCAAAAACAAAAGTCAGCATTGGCTAATGAGAGGAAGAATCAGGAGCTGGAAAGTAAGTTGAGGAAACAGCGGGAACACTTCCATGCTAATATGAGGGCGAAGGAAATAAAATTGAGGATGGTCAAGGAAGCACTGGATGCTGAAATTGTTGTCAGTCCCATGGAAGAGCAGGTCGAAAATATACCACCCCCTACCCCAAAAACTCCTGAAAGTTCTAGGAGGAACTTGACTACTCAAACTCACTCTGCAAGAAGAAGAAGGTCAAGGTCAACAGATGGGGTGAGTTCTGAGTAGATTAAAAAAATGGAACCATTTCAGTGTTAGTATATTTTTGCGAATTTTATCTTAAAATGGTGGTACTTATATCATAATTCAAAATAAGTTAACAATTCATAGTATGTTTCTGGATAGACACATTAATAAATTATGAATCTTCGTTTCCTGATGAATGGAAATATTACTAGAGGATGTCTCAACCCCTAAAAATTAACAAAAGAACTAAAAAGTTATGGGTCTATCTTATATTATTCAAATATTATATCCAGTTTATTAATATGTATACCTTGCATATGAGATCTTGATTCTTCTTACATATGTTTTTCATAACAATCAAATCAAATATCAGTTCTCCAAGAGAAAACAAAACGAAAAATGTCAAATTGTCATTCAACCTAATAGCACAAATGTTTAATTTCTTGAAAGATTGTATAAACAGCTTGAGCGAATCTCCTTGCTGTCACCGCAAATTTATGCAGCACATCTTATCAGCAGTTGGCTAGAAATTTACCGCGAGTAAAAACTGACGTCACAATTTCGTGAGTAGGGGCAGACCATAGTACAGTTGTCATATGTTGAAATACGATTGGGAACTTCAGAAATATTTGTTATTCAATATTTAATAAATTCTCAATCATGTATTGGTAATATTCCTAGTCATCAATAAAAACTCAATTGTCTCAATATTTTCCTTCATGTGTTGTGGATTATTGCTTATTATACAAGGTGATTCTAAAATAGGTGGTCAAACTTTGGGAGTATATAGAGTAAGTGAAATAATCACGAAAACCTCGGTAACATTTTCTTCTGAAGTGCCCCCCAAGGAAGATACAGCCCCTCAAAGGGGGGCCTCGGAGAATGATTTTGTACTATTGTCTCCAACACCTTGTATGACGGAAATCTAAAATTTTGTTTATCCACTAACTATTCAGTGCCGGTTCGAATGGAGTAAAAAACACCTCGCAATTGAATACAGGGGTGTGTCAAAACAGGGAGGTAGGGGGTAAAAATAACCCCAACTTTTTTGTTCATCGCAATTTCAGTTTTTTTACATGAAATTATGAAATCTCAGGGCTATTAACATAGAAAAGGAGCTCTTGTTGAATCTCGATTAACTGAACCATTAGCGAATAAAATTTATTTTTCCAAAATATCATTTAAATTGCAAAGTTTAATTATCTAGTTCAAATCTTGCAACTGAATTTTTACCTACTTCTAATCGTCTGATGAACTTGGAATCTGTCAGATGACAGTTGACAACACGTTGAGGACTTTTCGATAGAAAAAAATATGGCGGCTCCAATGTGGCTGACCAGATTTGTGATTATGGTTCGATTCGATTCAAAATTGGTTTGTAAGGGTTTTTGTGGTTGGAAATTTTGAATTCGTTGTCGGAATTAATTAATTAAAAATGGACGACCAGTTTCGTAATTATGGTCTGATCCTATTGAAAATACTAAAATAAAAAATATTGTTAAAAACAAGCTTTTCTTAAATTTTATTCACTAATAGTTCATATTATCCAGATGCAACAAGAGCACCTTTTTTATGTAAATAGCCCTGAGATTTCATAATTTCATGTCAAAAAACTGAAATTGCGATGAACAAAAAAGTTGGTGTAATTTTTACCCCCTACCTCCCTATTTTGACACATCCCTGTATTTTATTTTGAGGTGATTTCAAGTCCATTAGAACCGGTACTGAACAGTAAGTGGATGGACAAAATTTCAGATTTTCATTATACAAGGTGTTGGAGATAATGATACAAAATCATTCTCCGAGGACCCCCTTTGAGGGGCTGTATCTTTCTTGGGGGTCACTTTAGAAAAAAAAATTTACAGAGGTTTTCGTAACTATTTCACCCACTCTATATGCTCCCAAAGTTTGACCACCTATTTTAGAATCACCTTGTATATTTGTGTAGATAATAATAATTATATTATTTCACACTAGAGGACATTTGAACCGGTGAACATAACAACACGGCATGCAATCAGGTGAATATCCCAGCCATCTATTTGGAGTGGAAATCACCATCCTATACAGGTTATATCATGATAATTCTTGTTCAATAATGATGAGAACTTACGGCTTACATATGATGGTACATATAAATGTCAACTAGAGGTAGGTAGGTTATCTATACTGTTGAACAGATATAATCTTGTCCTTAATCAAAGCAATGTAAACAATGTAAACAATCTGTCAATGGCCCATATAGCGTAGTACCGACATTCGCCGTTCTGGCGCTACGATCTCAATCTCAGTCGCCTATTATGTTTCATCTCGTGTTTTATTCAACGACATGACTAGTTTTTATTTATTTATTTATTTATTTATTTATTTATTTATTTATTTATTTATTTATTTATTGAACAAATAACTTCCAGACAGAATAGGCTCTGGTATAAGGAAGTACATAATTATATACCTATAGGTAAACATAGCATCATTCAAAATATATCAACAACTGTAAATTGGCAAACAAAGAATAATATTTGTAAAAAAAAATGGCATGATTAATTTTATCAAGTCCGCTGAGAAATAATCAGTTTTTTTACTTCATTTTTTAATATACCTATATTTCTGCAAATTTTTATATTATCAGGTAGTTTATTGAATTCAGTTAAGGCTGAATGAGTGAATCTTTTTTGTCCGATTAGGGAGCTAGCGGCGTCAAGATGGAACAAGTTATATTGTCTAGTTTCATGATTATGAATTTCAGAATTCCGTATCAAAATAATATTCGACTTCAATTTTTTATTTATGATATTATATGATATTTTGAGAGTTTCAATTCTATATATTTCATCTAAAGAATACGTATTTGTTATTTCATACAATTGATTGGTTGGTGTATCAAATGGGAGACGATACAATACTTTTAACGATTTTCTATATAATGTTGATATTTTATTGAAATTATTTTTTGAACAAGATCCCCAAACATTTATTAAATAGTTGATACGACTCAGTATATGAGAGTAGAGAATCATGTTTGCAATTTTAATATCAAGTTTGGGACATCTTCTCAATGCACCAATAATTGGAGATATTTTTTTTGTCAGAACATCAATATGTTTGTCCCACTTCAACCTGTCATCAAACCAAATACCAAGATATTTTATCTGGTCAGTTTGTTTCAAGAGTTCTTTTCTTATTTTAAGGTTGAGGTGAATTTTTTGTTTATTTTTTTGGTGAAAAATCATATATTCTGTTTTGTTAGTATTTATCGATAAAAGGTTAGATTGGAGCCATTTTTCAAATATTTTCAAGTCTTCATTTATCATATTTTCTAAATCTGAAGGATTCTTGCCTTCATATGAAAGTACTGTATCATCTGCATACATGGTATATTCACTTCTTGATAACTTGATTATAATTGGTGACTTGACAACCTTGCTTCATGAGTGGGAATGGAAGATTATCTGACCAATAATGAAACAGCATAACGTCGACGTATCGCCAAATGGCGGCCATGAGGGTACTTTTGAAATGAGCTCTGTAATTCAAGAACTTTAAATTAATGTAGGTCCCTAAGGACACAGTGAAGCAATTGAATGTCAATAATTCATTATCAGTCCACTCGCCCCTTAATGGCGTAGGTTCAGGAAATCGAAATGAAGGACCTACTTATGGGCTATTCTCTCTACAGGTATGGCTGGAACACAATGCTATAAAACCGGTTCCCTTAGGAACGGTTATGCAACCGACCATGAAAAAACGCAAATCCGTGTCGAAGCTGACCAAAGCGACGGACGTGACCAATTCCAAGCAAACCAAGTACTGTTTGGTCGCCCAAGAACAAGATGCAGACGGTGAAGTTGAAACCAAGTTGTATAAAGGCGATATAGTGCCGACTTGCGGCGGAGGGGCACAAGTAATATTCAATGATGTGGAACGTTTGAGGCAGGAGTCGCCTACAAGGGATGATTGAATCCGGATAATCCGGTGATAACCGGAGGTGAATTAATCTCCTGTCTAATAGGTAGGTACTTATACATTATTTTGTGATGAACTTTGTTTATACTGCAGTTTTTTTTATAAAATAATAAACGTTTTAACATTTCATTCAACCAATTTTTGAAGAAAAAAAAAAGATATTTTGTATATTACCATATATGAATGCCCTGCTGGTTATTTGGTTGATTATAAAATGGGAAAAAGATGTCGGTCATGACATGAACATTGTAGAGCTGTGTGTTCTCAAAAGATTCATGTGTTCTAAGATTTCAATCTCGGCGATGAAGTGGTATCTAGTGGTACAATGAGAGTGAAAGTGGGTGAATGGGTGGTAAAGAATACTCAGTTTGTCCAATTGAGGTCTTTTCTATCTTGAACGAGACAGAGGAAAGTTCCCTCCTCTTCCATCTTTCTCTTCAATGATACCAACATAGCTGCATTGAAATATAGAGAGGTCAGATAAATCTGTCCTTGTCTAACATCTAGTTTGTGCCACTGAACTATTTTTAAACTCAGCAGAGAGTCAAATTTAATGATATTAACAAATGATGTCAAATTAAGTATGATATAAATCGAAATTTCATTTGAAAAATTCGAAAATTATAACATCCAAAATAGTTCAGTGGCGCAGAGTAGACGTTAGACAAGCAATGATTCATCGGATCTCTTTATTTCAATGCGGCCTCGTTGGTAGCACTGAAGAGAAAGATGGAAGAGGAGAGAACTTTTCTCTCTCTCGTTCAAGGTAGGAAAGAGCTCAATTATTCCTGTTGGAGTACCATTTAATTTTCCTTCGTTATGGAAACCAGCCTGTTATTAATATATGCTGCGTTATACAGTGAGGAACAAAAGTCTGTCGCTCCCCTCGTAACTTTTCTTCATTTAAGCTATTACAAAAAAAGTGTATAATGCATAAGTTGAAGGGTTTCATTCGATCTACCGAATGGTTTTAGTTTCATTTATTCAGAATGTTTCAAGAAAGTGCAGCGACTTGAAAATTTATTTTTTTAAATGGGACACCCTGTATATTATTGCATATTTAGACTATCTGAAGAGCTGATTGCATTGAATTTCCACACTTGAGGTCTAGCTGGATTGATTACAGAGATATAGGGTGTTCACAACTATTCCCCATAGAAAATAACTCGTCGCACCACCTGACGGCAGCAACTTGAACACTTCGTTTGTTTTGATGATATGACCAATAAGCACAAACAAAAAACGAATGTGAACCAATGAAAACAAAGTGAACATGCCGCTTTGACAGCTTTCAAGAACTCTGATAGGTGGCGTATGCTGATTTTCTTTCGTGAATAGGGTTTTTTTGGTCGAAACTATTCATTATTGGTAAAAAGGGCTTACATGTCCCTATCTCAACTTTTGATTTACTATCTACAGACATTCAATTGGAACAAATACAGGGTGGTTCAAGATTTAGAATCTCTGATCACCCTGTATCTGTGTATTTGTTGTCAAGGCCTAGTCAAGGCTATGCCCCATGTGCCTATTGTTCGTAAGCCCAAAGTACCAGCGTAAAAATGATGACAATTTTATGATGGTTAAATAAAAATGATGAGAAATGAAGAAGAAGATTGTTTTAACCTCTTTCTATGATCTAAGGTTAGAACACTTTCTTGTCTCTTCTTATTTTTAGCATAAACATTCCAGTCATTTTTGCTTGAGGATAGATAAGGATACTGGGATAGATCAATCAATATGCTGCGATTGTGATTCAAATATACCAACGGTACAATCCTGACCGTACTTTTACGGTATTTTTGTCCGAAGTACGGTGTACGGTCCTAACCTCGGACCTTACCCGAAATTTAGGGTCCTTCAGGTCTGCCTTTCCTACGAATAATTGTGTTATTTCGAAATTATATCGATCTATGCTCGTGCTCACATCAACATAGCACACCAGTGAACACTGAACAGTGAATCCGAAACAAGCACAAAACTTGAACACCAAAGGTCCCTTGATCGAAATTGACGTTAATGTCATCTTAACAGGGTACGGACAGATCATAGCTGCATTCTTTTTTATTGATCTAGAGACTTTAGTTTTGTCTACTGGCATCCCTGACATTGCTGTCACGTCACATCCATGGGCGCTACAAAAAATCATTCAAAATTTAAATAATAGGTATGTACAGGGTATTTACTTGTTGAGGAAGATCATATGGCGAACGAGTTGTGTAATTATGATCCGATTCTATTCAAGAATCAAAATTGGTATCTGGGGATTTCTGGGGTCGGAGATTATAATTATTTAGTCAAAATTGGGATATTCTAGATGGCACATCCAATATGGTGGACGAGTTTTGTAATGGAGATCCGATTCTTTCCATATGGAAATTACGTATAATACGCCAGTGACCTCAATATAACCTAATAAACAACGAATGTCAAAAATCTAGTGTTTATCCCCAGAATTGAATAAGGATGGAACTATATTACTGTTCCACAAATACTTCAGAGTGAGAGGAGACGAGGATCTGTCCGTACCCTGTTAAGATGACTTTAACGTAAATTTCTATCAAGTGACCCTATAAACACCAACCACGACAACTTGACAACTTAACCACTGCCACAGAAATTTCTATTCTGTGCCGCTGCCGTCCTGACCTGACGTATGTCGTTCCATTGGATACGTTTTTTAATCTGTGTTTGAAGTTTGAACGATATGGTAATGGGGAACAGGCAAGGATGATCCTAATTTTGTTATAATGAATATTATGAAGAAATGTGCCTCACTTATAAGTTATAATAAATGTTATGGAGAGATCATTGATATGTTATTCATTCCACTATAGTTCCCGAAACTGTGTATGCAACAGGCCGGAATGTTGTTTTGTACTCGCAGACTCATAGGACTCGCCTACGGCTAGTCCCAGAATTTTGTCTACTCGTCCAAAAAAACAGTATCCGGACTATATAGACTGATATCAATGAAACCTGTCCATCTCAAATTTGTTTTCCAATAATATCCGCGAAAGTACGGTCCTGGACTACGAAATACGGTAATTTCAGTAACCGAGTACGGTACTGACGTTTCAAGGAGTTGGCAACCCTGTATTGTGATTGGTCTTTGCAAGACGTAGTGGGCAACAAAATATTGATCATGACTGTGTAGAATTTGATACTTATAATTTACAATTATTGATATGTATTCTATTGTGATAACTGATAAGTAGATAATCAGTAAAGGTTCCTAACTAGTATATTATTATCGCCAATATTTTAATATTTCTCAGTATTTTCTAGTTTCCACTGTAAAATGAAGTTATTTGTGATTAGCCTTTTTGTATTGTTGCTTGAAATCTATGCTAGTGACAGTGAAATTGCTAGAGCAAGACTGGAGGTAAGGCGTAAATAAAATTGATCTACAAGAGATTAGATATATCAGATTGATTCGGCATGTTTGAATTCCATTATTTCTCTTTCAGAGTTGCCCTGGTTGTTCCCTCAATAGGTTACAGGATGTGAGAAAGTTTGCTTATGAAGACATTCCGAATTATGAAAATGTTGAGTGGAAAAAAATATCCGGAGCTCCCCCAGAGTTAGTATTCTTGAATTCAGCCGATGAAGAGGTTCAAAGACTTCCTCTGAGCAAACTCAGCAGAGCAGAATGCAATGAACTGTTGACAAGTAGAGGTTTCAAACAGTCAAAACCAAAAGAACTTTGATTTTTTTCAAGGAAGGTGTCAAGCAAAATCCAAATAAGATGATTAGGATATAATTTTATTCTTCCATTATTACATCTATATACAGATATGAAGAATAAATTGAATATTTACATAGCCTATAATGTTTTCTTTTGAATTTTCTTCTTCTAAGAACTCATGAATGGGACATAAGAAAATAGATCTTACACAAACTTTAAATAATGGTAAATCAAAACATTTAATTATAAACATCCAACCTTTGGCTAGACCATTTCTCCATTGAAATTCATATAGTCTTGAAATCACAATTCTGTGATCTCAGATATTTTTTTTACTTTGCACTATGTGGATGTTCAGGTGATATTGCCCTCCACCTCTGTCTAGGTATACATATTTTTTTGCTCATAAAATAAACAGTATTATGAGGCAAATCTTGATATTTTAAGCCATTAGTAGCCATGTCAAGAATAAAATAGCCAACCAAAGGAATATTTTTGAAAGGAATTGTTCTTCCATATGTTGATGTGTTCCATGAGCAGCAGCTGCTGGTCTTGGGTCACCAAAATTGAAGGTTGATGTGAAAAACCCAAATGGAAATGCTCCTATGCCAAAGGACATATGAAAACTGTTATCTCCAAACCCAAATCCTGAAAAAAAAAATCATTTATCAACTATATTCAGCAATGTGCTTTTTGAATATGTATGTTGTTTGAGACCATTATCAGTTAATGATACTTAGAATTTGTCTGCAAGGTGAAGATATGTAATGACAGTTTTTATTACCAGGGAAGCTAGTTCCAGGTTCTGGTTCAGTTCTTTGACCTGCTGGTCTAGGTGGAACTTTTTCCCTGGGATCTTCTTGTTTAGTACTGCCTCTTCCATATAATGGAACTACCTTTTCCTTGCTGATTGCTGCTTTGCACACTGGACATACTTGTCTATTTGGTCTGGTTTCTAGCCACTGATGTAAACAAGGCCAACTGGAAGAAAAATACTGTAAAATACATTATTTGATCTGCTCAGATCACTGATACTCTTGGAATAATTTAGAATTCATACTCCACCAGAATTGATTACCAGAATAAGTGGCCACACAAACTGACAACTGCATCCCTGGCAGTATCTAAACAAATATTGCACTCAAATATAGAGTCATCTTTCTTCTCTTCATCTTTAGTTTCTGAATTATGTCCTTCATCGCCAGTGGAACCTTTAACATCCTCATTTGCACTTGAAGCCATTTTATCCTATTGCACCCCAATAGACTTATAGAATAAATCACGAATACAATGAATTACCCAATTGATTAATTCAAAAAAGTTAAAACTGACGTGGCCACAAAAACTTTATTGATGATTGAATGGTTATTATTGGTTATAAATCGGATCCAACAACCCCGATGAAATGGATATCAGAGGTGACGTTTTTTATAACACAAAAATTTATTAACAATGATAAACTTTATAAGATTTGACACTATAATCTTTTCCATATCTTTTCAAACAATAAACAAAAACTATAAACATTATTGACATTTGACTTTTGACTAATCACGAAAGGACACGACATGTATTTTCATTTACATGCGAAGTGTTACACTGATCTGCACTTACACTACTCCTCGTATTATTTTCACGATTCAGTATGACGGCTAAATATTTAGACTGTCTGACGGCCTATATATTTAGCCGCAATTGCAATATTGCATATATGGTGGTGCAATGGCGGCTACTCGGGCTACTTGCTGATTATAAAATCAAGAAACCCACTATTTTTTTAATAGATGGATGATCAAGAAGTTAACTCGCACAAACGGGAAACGGACCATCCACATCTACACCTCATTTTGCCCTGTGCAAAATTTTGTGTAGGTAAATCTTATCGTTTGATTCGTTTGAGAACTTTTTGACTGTGTTAACCCGCTCTGAGAAATCGACTTTTGCCCAGTGGGCATATTACTGGAATTGTGGAATTAGTAGATCAAATTTCATTAGTCCATGATAGATATAGAGGTACTGCTTCATAAAGTTAACAAACACCAGAGTTTTTCTAATGTATTTTTATATGTATGTAGAATATTCAAGTAAATACTCCTATCATCCGATATAGTGGTGCATTTTAAGTAAAATGAGTCATGAATAGTGACAATCAATGAAATAAAATCAGCATCAACTTCTTCATCCATTTTGTTTAAACCATCCAGTCTCTATAACATGTGTTGTTATACTTTGGTGAATACGCTCATATTTTGCATTTACATACCTTAAAAACGCGCAAACTCCTCCAGCTTCTTGTCATCGTCCAACTTGGCGCGATGCAACAGCCCACTAGTCCACGCGAAAGGATTGGTCGACGTCTCATTGCCTGCTGGTATATCTGATATAGTTGCGCGTTTCCAAGTAAAATGAATCATAAATGGTGAAATGTATTAGTGGAATTCAGGGAAATGAAAATCAGAATCAACTTGTACATCCATTTTATTGAAACCGTTCATTCTGTATACATATTGTGTTGTAATACTTGGTGAATATACTCTCATATTTTGCATTTACATACCTTAAAAAGAAATACCACCATATTAAAAACTCGTATAAAACAATCTCACCTTCCCCTCTCATACTTTGATTTTGCTTTTCAAATTCTCAGCCAACTTATTGATGAACTCAAAGGTCTCCATGTAGTCGGAACGCTGAACCTTGCTCATGCCCTTGATGCAAATAGCCAGATCCTTGGTCATGAAGCCCGACTCGATCGTATCGACGCAAACCTTCTCCAAAGCGTGCGCAAACTCCTCCAGTTTCTTGTTATCGTCCAACTTGGCGCGATGCAACAGCCCCCTTGTCCACGCGAAAATCGAAGCGATCGGATTGGTCGACGTCTCCTTGCCTTGCTGGTACATCCTGTAGTGGCGCGTCACCGTACCGTGCGCAGCCTCGGCTTCCACGGTCTTTCCGTCCGGGCAGAGGAGCACGGAGGTCATCAGCCCCAAGGACCCGTACCCTTGGGCCACTGAGTCGGACTGAACGTCGCCGTCGTAGTTCTTGCAGGCCCACACAAACCCGCCCTCGGACTTCATCGTGTAGGCGACCATGTCGTCGATGAGTCGGTGCTCGTACCTAAGATTGGGGAAATTTCTCTTTCAGTTATGGTGTGAAAGAAATAGGAATTCAAAAATAGTAAATGTTGACGTCATTATGAAGTAGTTGCCTTCCACCACCTTCACCGAAATTTTCCAACCGGGTTCAACGGGGAATGTGAATGAAATACCCTTTATACTTCTGAATTTAATAGTTTTCAAAATATTAACGTTTGAAAATTGACATTTTGGTACACTACACTGTTTTCCCACTAACAAAACCGATTTTTTTTAAACGCCTCGATACGTGTTTCGCTAACTATGTTAGCATCTAGGAGAAGATTAAAACTAAACATCCTATTCTAGTGTGCTGCTTATATACGAGGTATGTGTCCAGCCAAACGTGAAAAATACTAACCGTCAAGTTTATGTTTGTCATGGTTGAGTTCACATGTTAATCTTAATTCCAATATTACTAAACTATATAGAGGGCTATATGGAATAGGCCCATTATCCTTATTCATTACTTTATTACTATTCTTAAATATCTCAAAGCTTTCATATGCGTCTAATTTCCTAATATTATTAACTTGCTCAACTAATTTGAGGTTAGTAATATGTGTGATATGATTGTAATTGTACATATGTTCGGCTACACACGATCTATCTAAACTGCCATATTTCAAATGTGCTATGTGTTCTTTGAACCTTGTTTTTATGGTTTGCCTGGTTTGTTCTATATATGTTTTATCACAATCATTAAAACTTTTTTTGTATATTCTTGACATTTCAAGTGTGTCCACTTCATCTTTCGGATTGCCTAATAAATTCCCTAATATATAGCCCTCTATATAGTTTAGTAATATAAAAATTAAGATCAACATGTGAACTGTATTTTTCACGGTTAGGTGAACATATACCTAGTATGTAATCAGCACACTAGAATAGGATGTTCAGTTTTAATCTTCTCCTGAAGATGCTAAAAAAGTTAGCGAAACACGTGTCGATGCGTTTAAAAATCGGTTTGGTTATTGGTAAAACAGTGTGGTGTATTATCGTGCCAAAGGTTCCAGTATACCATATATGACATTTTGGCAATTTAAAACCCAATCACTAACTCGAATGTGGCTTTCATTTAAGTTTGCTTTGGAAAAAAATCGTTGTCGCGGTATTTTTCCAATGCAAAATTAATTGAATGTATTATTCGACTTCTTGGTTGGATTCTCATAATGAAGTGGCTCAATCTTAGACTAACCAGAACATAAATTTACAGAAAACTTAATGCAACCTTTTTGAAGGACCATAGGTCCATCTGGGTTGAGAGATGCACCTTGTATGCTGTGTCTTCCTGCACTCTGCAGGGTCATTTGTCTATTTACGACAGAGAATTCAGGGGGGGAACTCATGAAATTCTTAATTGAATCGTGAAAATTTCTGAAAGTTCCAGATGTATAATGTAGAAAACCTCTAATTAAAAATTTTCAAAAATGGTCCTCGGTGAGAAATTTCGTACCAGATGTTCTGCGCTTCGTACCGCGCCCGGTACTCTCTATCGTAGATGTCCTGGAAGATGTCCTTGAAGCGGCCGTCATACCGCTTCAGGATGGTGTTCTTGGTGCTCAGGTAGAGGGGGTACTGCCTGTCGAGGGCGTATTGGAACGACGAGTGAGCGAAGTCGATGATGGATTCGTCGGTGTTGAACATACCTGGAAGACGGATGCATTTTTTTATCGCTTGATGCGCACGAAAGGGAATCCCTATAATGTTCGAAGAACATCGTGCGCACCTAGGGAGGATAGGGAGAGGAGGAAGGTGTTGGATTTTTTTTTACTTTTGGGGATTGTAAGTTCTTGGACATAATTCCTTAGGCATTAATTCCAGAGATTTCCCGTTCTAGTCTATGACAGCGATTATCAACATGTGAAACATGTATAGTTTATCCAAAGTCAATTGGAGCATCGTGAGCCGCGCGTCCGATCACTTCAAAAGGAACTTCAAACTAGGGTTGGGCAAAAATATCGATATATTGATATATATCGATACATATCGATATTTCGATACATATAGTTATTTCGATACATATCGATATATCGATACAATGATGGAAATGAGTAGATGGTGCGCGTACTCGGCCATTTTTATGTATTGAAAACTTAAGAAAAATCACTCGACCGCCTACTATGATTTCTCCACATCACATCGAGCGAGACGTTGATTCTACATTTTTCTGCTAGATGGTGATGCTGCTATTGCTGCTGTGACGAGTGGAAATAATATGGCAACTGACATTTTAGGTACGCGGAACCTATGTAACAGTGGAATTATTCAACTCTGAATTCGGAAAATCTGCGGCAATTTAAAAATTGACAGATCGCCATATATACGAAAATTGCTGAAATCATTGTTCACGGGACTCTCGGGAGGTCGAGAAGAATTTATGAAACAAAAGCGCATCAGTAAGTACACCATCAACTTATTTCCATCTTTATCGATACATATTGAAATATCGATAAATATCCATATTTCGATACATATCGATATATCCATACATATTGATACCAAAGCATACATCGATTACAATATCCAGTTTTCAATATCACACAGTACTAATTTATACCAAAGGGCAGAAGTTAGATCCTCTGATCAGTCTAATCCCTAAAGGAACAGACGACTCAGACGAGTGCTTCCTTTCAATTAACCTTAACTAGGAAATTACAAAAAATAAAGAAAAAGAGAAAAACATATTATGCAGTGCACATTTTAATACGACTTCTAGAAAACGTTCACTGAATAATACTGCTATCCCTCGAAGTTACTATAGGCACACATCCTATAGAACTAAAGTCGAGCTCAAAGTGAAACGTTAGACTTCAAACCTTCATTTTGATATTTGAGATAAATGTTCTATATGTTGAGCACATCAACAATGAAGTTTCGTTACTTCGTTACACCACCGGTAATCGATATACATATATGAATATATTAAATGTATCAATATGCAATATATGCGATATAATCAAAGATAACAATTATAAATAGAACAATGAAGTATTGTTTCTACGATGCATATTCCTTGCAGGATGATCTGGAATGAAATGTTAACATTGTACCAGTATGTCACCTGATGAAGCTACTGTCTACTATCTTTTATTAGGTTGCTTGACAAAAAATCGATCGATGACGTCACACTGTCACCATATTGATTAAAAAAAATGTCTCCTGCTTTGCCAAAAAAATTTTGACTTGTGATATGTCATTGAAAAACGAATTGTTCTCTCTATTGAATGACGTTGAAATATTAATAGGGTTCCATTAAAAATTCTCGTCCACACTAATTTTTTCCTGCTCTTTCCGAATTTGTAAATAATATTGATATACAAGGTGTTGTTTCGACTGGAAACCTGATGATTAACTTTTTTAAGGTCGGACCTGGAATGGAATAAATGGAATAAGACTATACAGGGTGTTTCAGTTTTTTGTAGCAGGACTTCAACAGCTTGAAGAAGACATTTTTTTAAGATGGAAATCTCATACAAACATATATGCGTGGGAGCTTCGTTTCCGATTTACAGGGTGTCAAAGTTTTCGTTTTTTTTTCATGTTTCGTTTTTTCTTGTTTTAATTATAATGGTGTTCAAAAAATTCAATTCAATTTTGCAACTGAATTTCATTGGTATGGAAGCTTTCGGTCATTCAATTTTCCAATAAGATGTTTGAGAAATGTCAAATAAGTGTGTTTGAGAAATAACGGTTTTATTACAAGTAATTCATTTTTGGCATTTATCTCGAGATCCATACAGTTTTCGAAGAATTTATATGGAAGCAAAAAGTTTCCAAATTGAAAGGACAATCTGAATCTATGTCCCATTGAAAGCAGAGACGGCACGCAAAAAAGTTCTACAGGGTTAAATTGGGTACGATCCCTGAAAGTCTATCACCCTGTAGGTATTCAGAAATGTTCAATAGTCTCAAATATTGAATTTTTGAAGTGTATCAGGTGTACAAAATTTCAATCAATTATTCCGAAAATTGTAGGAGAAAATTCGAAAAACATAAAAAAAATCTTGACACCCTGTGAATCGGAAACGAAGCTCCCACGCATTTATGTTTGTATGAGATTTTCGTCTTGAAAACATGTCTTCTTCAAGTTGTTAAAGTCCTGCCACAAAAAACTGAAACACCCTGTATATGAGACGTATGAGACTATTTTTCATTATGTCTATTGATACCACTGTGGACAAAAGAACATATAGGAACATAATATCACAACAAAAAACGAGAAAAAACCGTGTAAATTTGGAACATGGTTTTGATTACTGAAAATCTATAAAAAATGGCTGTACCTACCATGTAATTTTTGCCCTATGAAGTCTTGTGGCAAATATCGTCTCTCCTATAATTTCAGTTTCAAAATCGGTTTACCGTGTAAAAAGTTGAGGTTAGTGAATTTCTGGTTAGGTAGTTAATACAAAAATGAAGTTAATTTAGCATTTTTTAAATGAACTTTATTAACGATGATTTGTGTACTCTCAGATTCAGGCTTACATAAGCATTCTGATAAGAAAAATAAACAAAAAAAAACTCATTATGAAAGTGTAATCAATTCAACCTTTGTTCTAATTATATCTTTCAGAGGCTATTCAATAACACATGATTGAATGCATTATGTGTGAATACGATAAAATGATGAAACATAATGTACTTTGATATCAGGTTTATTCATATGTAGTGGCATCAATTTTTTATTAAAACCAAGGCCTTCTAGATAACATTCAGAGGCTGAAAAATACATAATCCATATTAGCGATTTTTTTAGGAAAAATCTGAGTACTCCACTGGAGTCGGCGGAGTCCTCTGAATTAGATCTGTATCAAGTTTCATGAAAAATATTCAACATTAACGAATCTACAGCATGTCTCATTTCAAAGTTCCCAAAACTTGACATTGTCACATTGGTAATATTATTTTATAAGAAAATTAAATGATCACTAGTCATCATGTTGTAACCATATAGATTAAATGTGGTAACCCAGTATAAATAATAAAGAAAACAATAATACTTTTCTATATATGAGCCAAAGATAAGATAATAGTTAAATAAACATGTTTGTTATGGTTGAGTGGACTGTAAAAAAGATCATATCAGCATATGGTAGTAAATGAAATTTTGTATGATATGATGGTGATATGAAAAAATAAACAGATATATTGCAGTTTTTTTAGACTCCAAAGTTTCTAGAAACTAACCATCATCTTCTATTCTGATCAAAGTAGAAAATTCAAGTAAATTTTCAGCTATTATTATTCAATATTCTTATGAAAATCATCACAATTCATTCAAAAATCGGAAAAATATACTGAAGACTATTTTAATTGAAGAGAAATCAAAGGTCTATGAGGAAAATTGGTAGCCCATCACAATTCATTAATCAAACAGAAAAGTTATTATGATTGTTACCATGAGTTAATGAAATACATTAAGGGCTGTTTGCATCAACCTGTTAATCTAATGAAGAGACAACTTGGCTAAGGCATAGATATAAACAAATTGAAAATTTTATTGTCTCCCAAATGATTAATGCAACAGGCACTAAGATTATTAAGTTAAAATTTGAAAATTGAGAGAACATCAATGACTGAATCACTGTACTTATATATTTCAAATTTATGGATTTCAAGTTGTCAGAGGTGTATCATCACATGTGAGATGTTTATAATTCCTGACTTTCTATACATCTTTATGACATAAATGGAATAAAGCAGAGAATTTATTAGAAGAATGGGAATAGTATAGTGAAATCATTCCCTTTTGAATGGCAAACAACACTTTTATCTCAATATTGCCACTTGAGTAAGTCACATTATATCTTCATTAGAACTTGAGAGACTAAAATATTTTTAAGAACTATAAAACTTACTTATTTCTCAATTTTAGGATATTGTTTGATTGATATAATAAAAATAATCAAACATACCTACTTGATAAAAATAGAATGCAATAGGAACACTTTGGAAGAAGTCTATGGTTACTCAAAGTGGAGTGGTAGGTTGGTAGGCATAGATCAAAGATGAATATAGGAAATACTTTTGGTTAGTCCTTGAAGAAAGCATAAAAAAATTATTTGAAACTCACCTAGGGCAACACCTGGTCCCTTATATTCATGTACAGTGTGTGATTCTGGCTTTCCAGATGCTGGAGTGTAAACTAATTCCAATTTACCTGCTCCAGGAACCACAAAATCAGTGGCCTTATATTGATCAGCATGTGCATGTCTACCAATAATGATGGGCTTTTCCCAACCAGTAACTAATCTAGGAATGTTCTTGCAAATAATTGCTTCCCTGAATACTGTTCCCCCAAGTATGTTTCTGATTGTACCATTGGGAGATTTCCACATCTGTTTCAATTTGAATTCTTCAACTCTCTTCTCATCAGGGGTTATTGTGGCACACTTTATTCCAACATTGTACTTTTTGACTGCTTCAGCACAATCGATGGTGACTTGATCATTGGTCTTGTCTCTATTTTCCATTCCCAAATCATAAATCTTCAGGTCAATGTCCAAGAAAGGGAGAATTAGCTTTTCTTTGATGGCATCCCAGATAATCCTTGTCATTTCATCACCAAGGATGTCGACTACAGTTCCAGCCTTAATTTTACCCATGGTGCTAGAAGAAATAAAACAAAATTTACTATTTTTAAGAATTCAAAGTAGCTATTTATTTGAGGAATACTAACCTTCAACAAGTTGTTTTGATTGGAATTAATGATATTACTCAAACAATCGTGACAGAGTGACCGGATCCACTAAAAGGAATGATGAATGATTAGTTGAAAGTTGAATACGTGTAACTAAAAACTTGTTTTCAAATTTGGTTCCTCAGTTGGAAGCAGTGTTGCCACAGGCATTTTTTTCGAGCGAGCTATGCTGTCAAAAACGAGCGAGATCTTTTACTCCAAGAGCGAGCTTTTTCGATGATGAAATAAAACAACACTTACTCTGTTGCACATAATAAATAATTATAAAAATATAAAATTTGAAATAATTTTTCACGTTTTTTATATTTTTTTGGAAAGTGGTTCCATCTATCAGATAATATTGGTATTGGTAGAAACAGTGTACTTACTGATGCGCTTTTGTTTCAGAAATTCTTCTCGACCTCTCTCGAGAGTCCCGAGAACAATGTTTTCAGCGGTTTTCGGATAGATGGCGACATTGCACAATTATGACATTTGTCAATTTTTTAGTTGCCGCAGATTTTTCGGATTCAGGGTTAAATAATCCCACTGTTACATATGTTCCGCGTACGTAAAATGCCATTTGCCATTTTATTTCCACTTGTCACAGCAGCAATAGCAGCCTCACCATCTAGCGGAAAAATGTAGAATCAACGTCTCGCTCGATGTGACGTACAGAAATCATAGGCGGTCGAGTGATTTTTCTTAAATTTTCAATTCGTGAAAATGGCCGAGTACGCGCACCATCTACTTATTTCCATCATTGTAGAAACCAAGGTAGGAACAAAATTTATCGCTTGTGTCTCAGGCCATCTATGCCAATATAGCTGAAATTCGAATGTGGGCTATAAGATTCGTTGCCTATCGCAGAGGTGAAGATGAGCGGGGTTTGAGTACTTTGAGGAGCGAGAGAGTGACCTAGTGACAAAACATTGAACTATGTAAATGACAAAAAGAGCAAGATCTCGCTCAATCGAGCGAGCTATGGCAACGCTGGTTTGAAGGCGACGTGACGTGGAAGGTCGATTTGGAGGTCGATTGCATAGAGTGGAATTTTTGGAATGACAACTACTTCAACCACATGATGACAGATTATGCTGTGAGTAATCTGTGACATGAATCAATCTATGTGGTGCTTGAGGAAGAAATCAAAGTGACCTGAAATGAAGCATCTAGATTCTAGAGAGTAAGAGATGTATGCAAAGACACAGGGCGCAACAAATAATCCGTGCCGAAACAAGTATACAAATAATTTCCAGCCGTGAATAAAGATCCAGGAAAAGAAACATCTTTGAAATAGCGAATCACTATCGGTCCGAACAGTAAATGCTGTCGATAAGGCTAGTATTGACACTTAGTATCTGTCAATTAGACTAGTTGACACTTTAGTATCTGTCAATTAGTATTTGACACTTAGTAACTGATGCCAAACGGGCTAGTTGACACTTATAGTATCCGTCAATTATAAAAAAATATATCATATGATTCATATGTGGCGCTTCTGCGCTTTCCTAGAATCACTATCGGCCCCAACGAAAATTTTTGTTTTCCGTGTATATATACAGAGTTTCAAAAGAAAGTGACCCCCTTGCTAGGGTAGGTAGGACACTGCAAAATAGGTTGTTTGCTCAGTAAAAAAATGTCCATAACAACAGCATCCTTTTTCGAAATACATATAGTGTTGAAAAAAATTGTATCTTGAAAACGGATTTACAAAAGTTGTTCACCAAGCAAACCCAACTTATTTTGCAGTGTTCTAAAACCTACCTAGCAAGCAGGGGGGGGGGTCACCTTTTTTTTATACACCCTGTATAGTTACGTATTATAAGAATTAATTCAAATGAATGAAATATGAAATATTCAAAATGTTCCATTTTTGAAAAATTCAAATATGCCAGGTGGACTATATTTTCTGACTGGTACAATCTTTGCTGGTACCTTGAGGAATGCATAGAAAACCCCTGGAAGGACAAATGTTTTCAAAATCCATTGAAAATAATTTATATCTAAGCTGAGTTCTGGGAATTTGGAATTTTGTGGTCATTAAAATGGATTGATGATATATTGAAATACAAATACATACAGGTTGATTCATGAACATTTGTGAAACATTTATCTTGAATTCTATTTTCAAACAGAAAAAAGTTTTTAAGGAATCCAAAGAAATATTTTCATGAATTACATGTTTATAAAAACTTGTTTTCAGTTGGTTAGGAATATGGTATAGGCACATATATATCAACCACACATCATTTTTATCACCATGAATAGGTAACAACAATGTATATTTTGTGATATTTATCTGAAAACTTGAACAAATAATAGGTTTATTTTTCTTGGATTATTATATTATATTGGGAAAGATAATTTTGTTATTTAAAGGTAGATGAGATATAAGCATTTCTTTGTTTTGATATCTTTGTTCTTGTTATTATTAAAAAATATTGACATCTAGTGCATGAGAAGCTGTTGAATTTGAAAAAGGTAAAAAATTATCTTGAGGAATATATTCTTGCTAAATAGTTTCTCACTTTATTCAATTTTCTGTGGCATCTTTTTGATTAGTTATGGTCTTCAGGTGTGTTGAAAAACTGAAGACTGATTGTTTTCACTCTTTAATATAACAACTCTCTGATTTCTCATTGCACCCTTCATATTCTCTAATATTTCCTAGTTTCTCATTGAATTTGCTAATACATGCACATCTATATGATTTTGAATGCATTTCATAAAATTGTCTAGGTACACCTATCCAATCTCTAGTTATGCCTCCACTAAAATATAAAATATATTAAAATTAAATGATAAGCACCATCTATCATTGGAAATTTTACCTATTTTTGGTACACCAAACTCTAGACCCTTGTGCAGCATTCCACTCCACATTACAAGGTGGAAATTGCCTTTTTTCTTCATTTTCCTCATTTCTGACTAGTTCAGCATCCTCAATTAGTTTTTTCACAATCTCTCCATATGGAGTTACATTTCCAGATTCATCAAAATATCTTCCAATCAACTTTCCTAAAGAATAATATAAAACTCATACATGAAATATTCATGGGAATAGGAAGTACAGTACCTACATAGGCATAATCTTTTTGATAAAATTTATGCCAATGGTTAATGGATCTTAAATCTTGGGGAGTCAAGTCTGAAACCTCCTCACTGATATCATCTTTGCTGAATTTGCCTGTTACAAAACTGCGAGAAGCATCACAACCTAGAAGAAATATTTCAAGTGAGGGTTTTCACAATTTATAGAACATACCAACAAATACATTATATTGTTGATTTGGACCATAATGTTTAGCTCCCTTGCTTACATCAAAGACATTGCCAAGAATGGCTAGATATAATTCTGGTTTATCTACTCCATTATAAAGCTTGAGTTCGTCATTTGTAAATAATCTATTCCTGTTGGAATCTGTAGATGTTGAAGAACGGTAATGTGTAAATAAAAGTGAACCAAAAATAGCAGCGAATGTATCGGCAGCTTTTTCACCAAAAAAATAGCTCATTATAACAACAATGCAAGACAATAATATGACTTTATGATACATTTCTTCACTTTAATCGATTTTTATACCTGAAATGGTAGGAAGAAGAATATAAATAAATAATGTTTTGTATTGTATTGGTTAACAAAAATAAAAATAGAAAAATACCTCACTTACTGACAGGTGACAGAGTGACAAGTATCATGTGTCACAATGTCAGGTCGTCACGTCATGTGTCAACAACACAAGCATCTAGGGACAGGACCATCCAAATATTGCCGCGGCTTTCTTGAACAAATTTTGAGAAAACGACATCACCTAAAACGAGACACTCAAAATTAGACCGGTGGGGATAAGCTTACTTTTCTGCAGGCGATTTTGGCTTTGGCGATGCCTGCGATGAAACGTGATTATGATTTTATTGGTCGATTCGAATGGGTTAGCGCCATTGACCAATGATAACATCACACGTTTCATCCCTAGCATTCCCAAAGCCAAAATCGCCCAGCAGAAAACAAAGTTTTAATCACTTAAAAAAGATATAGATATATAAGGATTCGAACCCGCTGCTCTCTTGACCATCGTAGTTGTGGCGATAATATTCATACGCAAATTCATACGGTCATCACTGAAGGGCTATAATAGTTCAGTGACGGTCACAGTTTATAATCCTTGCACCGAGCGGTCAACGTTATGCGCATGCGGAAGTCTCAAAGCCAAAGTGGAAACCGGTGTCGCTACTTATAAACTAGGCTATAAAGAGAACAACGTATGTGCACTTGTGCACAGATGTAATTATAGATTGAAAGGTCGCGGGTTCGAATCCCCTAAACCACACAGGAACAACCTACTTTTTTGCATGCATTTCCTGTTCGCCGACAGTGATTTTTTATGTAGTGTCGGTTTTTTAATGATCGGCCAATGATGGCTAAATATCTAGACTGTCTGACGAACCCGTCGGTCAGTCTAGATATTTAGCTGTCATTGGATCGGGCGTGAGCGAAGCCCAAGGAGCGCCGGAAAATTTCTGCGTACGGCTCGCAATATTTGATGCGTCCTGTCTCTAGACACTCACGTTTCAGGAGTTTTGTTCTTTGAACTAGCAGGAGTAGCAGGGCAAGGCCAAGGAGAGTATACAGAGAAGGAGTGCTAGATCCCTATCTTCCAATGTATTCCCTAAAATGTGACGTCATGCTGATGCCTTTCGCATCTCTTTTGTTTTCTGTGATCATGCCGTGATCCTATTGGTCGAAATAATACACAAAACATAAACAAACATGGCTGAAATATTTAGCAAACGCGCACTAATGTTACATCTTTCAAAGCTTTCCAAGGTTTCTTTGTGTGATTTGTGAGAAATTGTTCATGTTTTTTATTTATGGGTGATCACTCATCAGCTATCAACCATCGAATTACAGATTATAGAAAGAGGAAAGAGACTTTCGAAGCCTCCTAACCATTGTGAATTTGAGTGCATACAGAGAATTTTTACAGCCTGTGAAGTACTTTGCAAAGAACAACTTCATTGTGAGTTGTGATCCTTGTACATGAATACACATACCTACAGTTGTATATTTCTCACAGATTAACCAATAATATGCCTGGAATGTGCTGTGCTGTTTATGGCCTATTCCAAAACTGCAGGTGCTGGTATTATTTTTCATAGATTTCCTGGTTTTGTTACCATCAGACAAGAATGGATAACCAGATGTAGCAGTAAAACAACGTTCAATCCAGATTCAAGTAGAATGTGTTCTTGTTATTTCACAATAGAAGATTATGAAAGAGACTTGAAGAATGAATTATTAGGTAAAGATTGCATTTCTCACAAAACTATATGCTTGACTTACAGATAACAGTTGTATCTATCATGCATTTTGTTACAGGTTCACCCTTGAAGAGGATTTTGAAAAAAACTGCGATTCCCACACTGGAACTGGCAGAAATTCAAGAAAACTATGATGCAGGGCAGACACAAGACCATTCAGAAAAATTATTGGAAGTAGTCTGAAATGATACTGGCCAAGAACAAATACATCAAGTCCATTAAAGTCCAATCATCATCAAATGTGAACAGAATTTCATCAACTTTATACTATCTAGGTTATAGACAATTTGGGGAAAAGTACAAGAATATGGAAACAATGATTCAATGCCAGAAGATACAAATAGAAAAGATACATCTTTAATGAAGCTCTTGACATAAGTCAGCACTTGAAAATTTGTAAAAAGGAAAGTTACTCTATATGAAAAATCAGTATTTTTATTTTTCACAAGTCAAAACATTACTTAGTTTCAGATTAGCAATGCAGCTATTGAACAAAATCTGGCAGATAATTATTTTTATGATCAAATTGCTTGAAATGTATCCTACAATGTTCATACCTACTCAAGAAAATTGTTATTGATAGGAAAGTTGGCCCTATTTTATCAAAACATAATAACTTTGTTTCAGATTAGCCATAGAGCTTATAGGTTTTCAAATTTCAATATACAAAAACAGATACTTTGAAATACTTACAGAAGTTGTTACCTTTTCAATTATTTCCAATATAAGCAAATGCTCCACTATTACTGTTCCCACTGAATAAAATGAATTGATTTCAAGTCTTGTTTTTATTCCCCTATAGACCAATAAGGAAATTAAAGTTTTTTCAGAAAATCAAATTTATAATTTTCAAATTCAATCACAATACTCATTACAATTAGTGAAATGATAATGTAACATATTCTTGAAACATTCTTTACAAATCATCATCCATAATATATTTCTTTGAATTTTACTATTGTACTACTAGCTATACAACTTTAGGGAAAATAATACACTGAAAAAATTGGGTGCCTTCCAATTTTACTAAGGTCCTCCTCCACAAAATGTGTATGTTTTTCCTCTTGTATCACTATTCATGTATTGAGTAATTACACAGTTCCACAAATTTCTCTGAACCATTGATTTACCTGAAAATTTAATTAATTTAAAATAATTGAGCTGAATTTTGATTTTTTTTACAATCATTTCATCCTCAAAAATAACTCCATCTGGAGGAATATTGTGAGACAAATTGATTAACTTTTAAAGGAAAGTAGGAATCCTCAGTTTTCTCCAGATTTTGATAATTTTTAAAAGGTTAAAATGTGACATGTTTCCAACTTCAGCTAGAGGAATCTACAATTTTATATGTTAAAATACTTATGTACTATACAATCATATTCAACTTACAGGTAGGGAAAGTTGTAGCTTCCTTGATGCTTGACAAATTTATTTCTTAAGCTTTCCTGGAAAAACCAGTTTATTTTCCAAGTATTCTTCCTATTATGTGAAAGTTAACCTTAAATAATTCAAAGTGAGTATCAGATGATAATTATGTCAAAAATTCAATTACCAGTTATTTTCATTTATCTCCTTTTTTCCATATTGCCAATCACTGTGGATATTCAATAGCAACTTTTAATGCATATTTTCCATAAAATACTCTAATATAGCCTTGCAACATGGTTTCAATTAACAATTAATGGAGATTTAAATGTATCCACTCAGAATATTAAACATTATCTCTGAACCCTCTTCTTTGTTTTCTATTTTCTACTTCAGATCTGTACAGCTCACATTTAGTCTTCATTTCTGAAATTTCAAAAGATCATTGCTGAGCTGTGATGAACCAGTAATACAACAAAAATAACACCACCTGTTTATAGGGAAGATATGTTTGAGAAATCCTGAGACATCTCTGCTTGCCAAGTACCTATGCTTTAGAATGTGTAGGCTGTCCAAGAGCTAATGTTTGCAAACATAAGTTTTATATACCTACCTATTATGTGTTTGCTATTGCTTCATCTACTCTACATATTTAATGACCATCAGCTTTCAATACATCTTCCTCTGTCAAAGATCTATTTCTAGTTCACTGAAACATGAGAGCAAAGATGAAATTATACTATGAAGAGAAATATTTGTTCAACATACCTGCTTAGCATTCTCAATGATCCCAAGTCTACTGATATCATCACTATCATCAGTTGATGAAATGGACCATATTTTTTCCATGTGATATTCTTCGGTTTCCCATTATTATTGAGAGTATCTGAAACAACCAAAAACTTCAATGAATAATAAATGCATTTTCGTAATTTGTGCAACAAAAATATTACATTACATAATAATTATTTGAATCACTAACCTGTGAGCCTGTGAGACCATTCAACGATTACCTTCCAATTACACCCAGAGGTGATTATTCTAGTTCATGTCCCTCAATTTCATTATTTGAGATATTTTATAAATACAATAAAAATAATTTTCCAATTTGACGGCCATATTGCGATCAATGTGATGACGTAGTTCTGATACCCTATCACGTGACCACGGCAGAAGATTTTGCGGGATCTGGCAATCCTTCTAGAGTTTATTAGGCATTCCAGAACCCGTGACCTAAAAATGGCCGCTGTACCTGCCCCGTTTCCGTCCGTACTTCAAACGTCAAAAATTTACTTCCTCTTCCTCTAAATTGCGAGTTTTAAGGTTATGATCGTCACTGATTTTGTTTTGATTTTTTGATATTGTGGTTTTTATCATGAATAAAGTGAATATTTATTGAAATTATAAATTTCTGGTGGTCATAATATAGAGCGATACAAAGAGAAACTCAAAGTCAGTGATTCTATTGATCCCTATTCTCTGCAGAATAATGGAAACCCAGGCTCCGATGTTTCCTGGAGTCACTTCAATAGATTACTCCTAGTTTATATACTGCAGAGCAAACGAAAGCTCATGAAAGTTTGAGTGGGTATACATTTTCTGAGGCATGTTTTGTACAAATACCTATGTGGAGTGAAGAAAATCAGTGGCATATGTTTGTTGTTCTAGGCTACTATGAGTGGATAATTGGATAGTACCTGTTAAATATTGGATATTTTTGTAGGTGAAACATTTTCAAATGATGATTTTACCCTCACTAGAAGTCTGAGTATTGTGTAAAAGTGATCAAGGAATAAATACAGAGCCATTACACCTGCATGGCTGGGATGTCAGAAGTTTGTAGTCTCTCTATAGCTTAACATGTATTCACAACTGCAGAACTACCAAGTCAAATACCCATTTTCAGGCAAAATGGATGAAACCTAAACCTTCTAATGTTACTCTTCTCAAAAATCTGAGAGAAAATCACACTGAAGTTAGAACATATTCAACCTATAGAAGGCAACAGCTCTTAGAAATATTGGAATCTTCAAGAGAAATTGACCTAGCAAATATCTGATATCCCTGCCATGCATAAGCAATTAATCATATTAATTGCTCAATAATTTTCACACAAAACAGGCATATTATAGTGAGTGTAGGTACTTTCCTCCTTTGATACCCTTTTACTTACAAGGACAACACCAATGCATATCACTGATTCCCTCCACTTTACCTATTTGTGCAAATCCTGTTATTTGTATCAGACTCCTGTAAGCTCTGATCTGCAAGGATTTAAACTATCATGATTCAACTCTAAATATCTAAAAATGTATACTGACCATAGTAACTCCAGAAAATATTTTGATGTTAGTCTTGCTCTGCAATATCACTACTGGAAATTTATGTCAAAAATATTCAATTTGTTCTTAACTACTAGACAAATATGAAAATTCACAAATAAGATATTGACACAATTCCCCCAAATATCTACACTATTGATGAAATCAATTATTCTTCAATTAAAAATTAAGCTATATTATAAATAGTTTCTTTCAACCTTATAATTCATTAAAACACTACATATTCATGCTTCATGATTTTATTCATCTTAACTATAGTTTTCTCAAACACATTTCAATGTAATACCTGTAATAATAATTATATAGTCAACAGAATGTGTTTCCAGAAAGTCCACCAAGTCATTTTTGTGAATTATCTTGAACATTTTAATAATGTCTTGTTAAAGTTTGCTGTATTGACCAACAATTCATTGAAAAACAGATCAACCTTGTTAATCAATAATTCTTCTTGAATTTTCAATTTAGAAATTTTGACAATCATCACAGTTCAAAGTATCTATAGATATCATCATCACACAAAATACTTATTAATAATTACAAACATTTGCTATCATAATGAGTACCTATCATTCATACACAAAATATTTATCACATTAACTCAATATAACATAGTAACTCAGATTTTTTTAACAATACTCATCAGTCTTATCACAAGGAATATTTTTATCAACAATTTCATTATGAATTTACATATGAATCCACTGTTCATTGATGAAAAGTTCGTGAAAATTGACCAACCAAAAGTGTTGGCACAAAGAAAAATCTCTTACAACAATATAATAAATTTCAATCTTGTTCATTTGTGTTTTTGAAAAAAACTGAGTATTTCTTCTCCTGTGTTCCCAAATATCTACTACTTATCATGATTTATTATTTAGGTGAGTTGTGAGTGAGCAAACCAGTTTTGTTCAAAATTCAAAAACAGGCATATCTAAATAGCAATTTTGCAAATGTAATCTTATCATTATTTACTCTGAAATGGTGACTTCAACATAAAATATTGTATCTTTTTTTTTATCATGATTAGCAGTTTGAATTCACTTTTTTCTCCAGGCTGAAAATAAAAAAAAATTAAGCCAATCCTGTCAATTTGAAATGTGGTGATTTTTTTGCACAATATAGAGGTTTGGAAGCATGAGGAACAATATGAAGTTAGTTTTTATGCCAAAATATTCCTAATATGATTTCATAAAAATCAAGATATTGAGGGACCAGTTGAGGGATATAGAGGAAGGGGCTTTCAAAGTGAGATATGCTGTATATATTTGGTTCCTACTTATCAAAGATTTGTCTATATTATTATTGCATAACAACTCTATTACTATATATCTTCATCAATCAAGAACATAATATATTCAGTCCAATTGAACAATTGGGGGACATATGTTGATATTTGCACAGCAAATTGTAATGATTTTGTGGAGAGTTGGATCATCACCACATTATAAGTGAAATTGCCATGTTGATCAGCTAATATCCTGTACTTCTGTTTCATTGCACCAATAATTCACTCCACATGAATTCTCACATTGGCAGTAGCTCTAGTTCCCACAATCTCAGTAGGATGTAATTGTTTCTTTCGTTTTGTAAAAGCTTGAATCTTCACTTGGGCATTCAAAATTTGTACATAGTCACCAACCAAAAAGCCATGGTCACCTAAAATCAAATCACCTACAAATTGAATTTGTATTAATTGAAAGTTGGATAGATACTGTTTGAAATTCAGATGAGTTCAGGAAGATTGTTAGAACAGTAGACATACATAAATAGATTGAAAGTCAAGACAAGTGGAACATTTTCAACAGTGCATGCTGTTTAATAAAATTAGTTTTTCCATACATATAAAAGATTTCTAGCTTCTAGTCAATAAAACTAATTTAAAAAGTTTATTCTCTTTCAGTAATTCTGGATTTAATAAAGATTGGTATCAATTATATTCAATTGATCTTGTACAGAAACTCACCTGGAATAATATTATCTATTAATTTTGAATTGATTGTTATGGGATAATCAGATGCTCTTTCTCCACAAGCCTCACTGATCAAACACACTGTTTCTTGTGGGGTGATTCCTATCAAATTATAATTAGATCAGCACTAGGCTGACAGCTGTGATCACATTCAGCAGAAACTATACTAAGATTCTCATCTTGAAAATCTGATGATCCTACAGCCTGTTCATTAGATGGCCCTGCAGCCTGTTTGAAATCAGATGGTCCTGCAGCCTCACCTTGGCATTCTGATGTTTCCATATCATTGATAGTTTCCTTAGATTGGTAGTCAGAGGCTAAGCTATCTATCATATCCCAAAAATAAACTGGGAGCCCAGATAGGATTATTAACATCTGATAGATATGCAGGTTTCCCTAAAATTTCCATTATACCTATTATATTTACTACTAACCATTACCTGTTTCAGTGAACTCACCAAGTAGGTAGGAAATGTTTGCTGCAAACTCTCAACATTTTCAGTTTCTGCTCCATCAAACCATTTCTATTTATCCACTTGTCTCTTCTTTTGATAATTCATTGTTCCAATTTATGTCTAAATTTCAAGACACTCAGGATTCGATGAAACTTCATGCTATCACCATATTACCGACTCTTATTACAATTGATTATTCCACAATAAAACATTATTATAACACAAACACCAAGCAAAACCTATCCAAATAGTGTCCAGAATACACCACAGCATCACAGGAATACACATCAACTATTCAATAATTTTCATAAAGATGATGCAATTCTAATAAAACTAAGTATATAAAGTTCAATTATCAACTAAAGAAGGGAAGAAAGCAGCATTTAACACATTTCAAATTCAATTGAAAATATGGTTAAAAAAGTCACGGAATGACATCTATTTGTTTGGGTACAGCAACCATCTTGAATCTGATTTTGACAGCATTCCGAAATACCTAATAATCCTTGGGGCAAGGCAGGAATGACAGGTTATTTTTATGGTTATGGATATTTTGTAAATATCTTATTTTTATTCCTATACCCTATACTTCACTTGCACTAGTTCACTTTAGATTAGATCCAATTCGCAATTGCCGATAAATGTGCTACTCTGACGCAATAATCATGACGACTCTATTATCTCAAGGTTTCAGAGAGAAATTTCCTTCAAACTGGCAGATTACCAGGGGATAAAAAAACGACAGGCAGTTTTCAAATCATGATTCAAACAATGCGCAAATGATTGAACCTATTATTCAATCAGCCAAGTGCATACTAAATTTTTGTCTGTGATAGCTGGAGGTGAACAAAAATATGGTAGCAGTACTTTCTAGAATCTTAGCATTTACCAATCGCCACCCAGTCGTGAGGGGTATGCTATCTTATGGAACGATGTGGCCAACCTCTTGTATCATCCAGCAAACTATATCTGGAAAAACTTGGGAAAACTATGACTGGATGCATGCTTTTAGATTCAGTTTATATGGAGGTTTATTCACAGCACCAACACTATATGCTTGGATAAGAGTATCTACAATGATATGGCCAGGAGCAAATTTGAGAACTGCAATAACTAAAGTAAGCTTGCTTCAATTTGTTGTAGCCCTATAGGTATTTCAACTATTTTAAGGCTGTAGTAGAACAGTTCACTTATGGACCAGCTGCTTTGGTTTGCTTCTTTTTTGGAATGAGTCTTTTGGAAGGAAAAGGTATAAATGAAGCTAAACAAGAAGTAGCTGCCAAAGTCTTTCCCACATGGAAGGTATGAATTTGATGTATTTCACTTGAACATTTGTGTTATACTAATTTGATATCCTATTCCAGGTGGGTGTATGTGTCTGGCCAATTTTACAAACCATAAACTTTTGTTACATAGCAGAAAAAAACAGGGTACCATATGTGAGTGCCTGTAGTCTTGTATGGTGCTGCTTTTTGTCCTATATGCAGCAGTTGGAGATTGAAAAAAGAAAACTGAAACTTTCAAATATACAAAATTGATCCTGTAGTACCTACATGGAAGTTTAGCTCAATTTATTTATCATGGTTTATTCAGTTTTATGCATATTGAATATTATTTGGAGCTTAAATCACATTTTGCAGAATGCATAAATCTGATAAACCTGTGAAAGTAATAGGATTTTTAAATTGTTACAAATTATATTTTTATGATTGTTATATAGATCTATAAAGAAACTATATTTTTGGAACTTACTCCTGTGATAAAGACAACAAAACAATTATGTGAGTGTATTTTTATTCTTTTTTTTTGTTACAAATTTTCCAGTCAGACCTCCAATCTCCTATATTTAATGAGTGTGAATTCATATTCCATCCTGTGAAAAAATATTTCAATTGAATTCATATCTATATATTTGAAGAACAAATATATCTCCAAAACTATACCCACCATTTACTTGTAGAGCAAAATGAAACATTGAATATTCTTGTTTAACAAATTCCTCAAAATCAAATAAATTGTTATAAGGCATATTTCTCATAGTGGATGATTTTTCATAAGAATTCATGAAGGTGTACAATCTAGTCATTGGTGTGGGATGATGAAGTTGTCTTTTCAAAAAGTTATCCTAAAAATTATAAATTATATCAACAGCTATATCATCATCAACTCCATAAAGTGAATTTAGAACTCACCAAGGGTATATTATTGTACAAACATGTTGCAATGCCTAGACATACAGCATGAAAAAATGCTGCAATAACTTCTTCTGTAGTTTCATCTTTTTCAAAAGTTATATAAATATTCCTTTCATTGATGTCAACAAGTAGAAAGTAATTTTTATCTTTGTATACTGAAAGATTCTGTTGAAAATCTGCAGGTGACAAAGTACATAAAACATTCTTCAAAGGTTGTCCCATAAGGATATTGAAACCACAAAATTTATGAACTGCAAATATAAAATAAACACTTCAGTAGCAAGAGCCACCACATGAGATGGAACTAGATATTACCTGATGCACCAATTCCTAATATGACAACTTCTCTTTTATTGGCTCTCAGTGGATTCAAAATTGCACCAATATTGAAATAACTTCTCAAAACTATTAACAGTCTTTGATCATTAAATGTTGTGAATATCAAGGATTTCACAGCCCAGTAATTAGTCAATAAATGCAGTCCCATCAGTGATAAAACAAAAATCATTTCAGAACTAAAATTCAAGTCTCATGATTTTTGATGAAGATAGTGAATAGGAACTTACATAGGCCCTGTGAAAATGTTGAATAGATAAATACTTGTGATACTAGCTACTAGATTAACAAGAGTTTCCTGGGTTCCATCTTTTGCTGATATTTCAGCCATATTATCTTTAATAGCTTGGTGATGCATTATGGAAGCTCTAGTTGCCCCACCAGCAATTCCAACCTTTGAAAATTGAGAGAACAATGAATTCTCTGGAATATATACCACAGAAATATGAAATATGGATATATAACTTACAATAGATTTCATGGTAGAAGACACACAAAGAACTGGCATGGATAAGTCACTGAAAAATGGCAAGAACAACTCAATTGTCATAGCCAGATCATTCAGAACATCTGCAAATAGTCTCCATTTCTTACAGTCAGAATCCAAACCTTTCCTTAAAATTCATCTTTTATGGTAGTGTTGCAAGATATAGTGAATTATTGGGTGAACATTCATTAATTATACCAACCCTTTCCACCATGCAAAAATAATCCTTCCTACCATTCCTGTTCCATCTTTCAAAATCCATGTCACAGCTGCAGATAGGGCAGTAGCTTGAGCATTACCAACTCCTACACCCTTCAGAATTGCTCTGGTGGTGAACGCTCCTACAATAGTACTGCAGAACGCCTGTGCAGTATCCCACAGCTGGTATTCTAGGTAATCTTCACTAACACTTTCTGGGTACCCATATGGAAGCAGGATTTCACAAAAGAAATTCTTCAAACATTGGAGAGACAGGGAGATGGTGGTTGGAGGAGGCCCTTCTGATTTGAGCTGAATTATTTCGTTGTTGTCTGTTTTACACAAATGGATGTTTGAAAGGTGCATGAGATAAAAAAAATAAAATAAAAAAATCAAATCAGAATCAAATCATACCATTTTTGCTATAAAGAAAAACATCACCACGGGGGCCACATTGTTCTACTATCATAATTTCGTCATCAACCATCATTTTTATATTTAAAATTCTATTTAAAAAATGTAGTACTCAAAAAAACATTGTTAGGATGTTAGGTTATGTTTATGTTTATTTATTCACGTCAAAATGTCAATTGTCATATCGAATTATATTATCACCTGGAATGATTGCTAACGTACCTAAATTTCGATCCACTCGAGAACGCTGAATTTTTAAATGGATTTCGCAATTTGATAACGAGATAAGTATTATGCCATCCGATACCAAATGAATGGTAGATTTCAAAATCCTTGTCTGAGCCAAATCCATGGCACAGCGATTCATTTGTTGCTATTATTCCGGTCTTACTTCCGTCATGTGATAACGAGTTGAAACAAGGAGCAAACAAGAGGAGATGATGTCTGCTTTGCGAATATCCAAACGTGCCGCAATTCAAACTGATCTGAAAGTATTAGTGGCAGAGCGTCAATACGAGAGTAGTTCGCCCCTCTAAAGATAATATCCGTTGGACCAGTGAAAAACTCAACATGTGGATTATTAGAATATATATATATATATATATATATAGAATATTATCGGTAGGTCTCTAGAGCAAAATTATTTTTATCTCAACAGGATGTTATCTAAAGTCGGGGCTACAGAATTGATAATTTTTTTGATAGATTCAAAGATTAATGGAAAAGATGTATTAAATTCTAATGAGCTGTCATCAAAAAATTAAATCGAAATATCGAATATGTATTGTACATCAGTTCTAATAATTATAGGTATACTTACCAGTTCAGAACATGCGTTCAAAGACTGCGACTTCAGTTCTCAGAGCACTCCCTGTCGCAAGCACATAGTTGTATATGTGTATTCCAGACCAGCCTTCTTTGTACAGTCTTTGCATTTGCAAGAGATGAGCTCCCTGCGTTGGTGATAGTTGGTGATGGCCTGACCCCGCAGACAACTCCGCTCTGATACTGCTCTTCTTACGTTCTGCTCCAGGAAGTTATAACCATTCGAATTAATAATAACAGCGATATATTTTGTACAATATAATTGCAATATTATATTTGTGATGGAAACGAAAAAAAAAAGTTTCCCTGAACATATGGTATGATAATAGATACACCAATGACTTCTGATGACATCTTATATGGATTATGTGTTGTGACTGGTTGGTGGTCATTCGGGTCTCCTCTTCATTCAATCGTCTTTTCAACAGCGCCATCCTTGGTATCTAAGCATCTCTGTCACAATGAGATCAGTTATTCGTATTTGTATCGAAAATTATGTAGTGTGTTTCGGCGAGATGTAAGCATACCAAGAATAATTTGATAGTAATGTAACGACTAATGTTTGCGGATTTAGCATCACACCGAAGAGGAATCTGAATAACAAATTTTTGAAAATTTCTCACATATGAGTTTGTTTTGCTGTATACATCGCAGCGATGCGACATTCGTGATATCGCATTGCTGCCTCATCATGACATCTTAGAGATGCCATGTCACAGATGTGTTTGCTTCTGTACATCGCAGTGATGGAATATTCGTGATATCGCAGTGTTGCCTCATCGCGACATCTCAGAGATCTCATGTTATGGATGTATTTGCTTCTGTACATTGCAGCGATGGAACATTCGTAATATCGCAGTGTTGCCTTATCACGAGATCTCTGAGTTGTTAATTGTTATGTCGCAGGTGTGTTTGCTTCTGAACATTGCAGTGATGGAACATTCGTAATATCGCAGTGTTGCCTCATCACGACATCTCGGAGATGTCATAGATGTGTTGACTGGGTACTTTTCGACCCGCTGCACTCTTTTATCGCCCAGGGCGCTAGAGTGATACTTTACACCCGTGAATCCGGGAGATAAATTACCACTTTACGCCCGGCTGTGCATAAAGAATATTATTCTGAAATGCTGTATTTGCATTATATATAATGCACTAGATGAATTCAATCAGAAGTCCCCTCAGAATTATCCTCAATACACCTCAAAAATAATTTATACACATTGTATGGACATCCAAAATGAATGAGTTACACGACATTCGATCTATGAAAATTTTCGGAGTATTCTCGAGGATTTCTGGGTACATATTATCAAAACATTATTCAGATTCACCCAGTATAATATATAGCTGTTAGAATGAATGTGAATTTCAGAATATCATTAGAATTTGTGAGGAATATTCCATGAATGTTCACAACATTCTCAAAACACCATATCATATCTCAGGAGCTTCCAGGAATGTACTCTCAATTAGATTATTGCAGTTCGTAAGAATATTCTGAGAATATCTGATGGGTTTCTGAAATGAAATTGGAAAAGTAGTTGCCTCTTCCTTATCATTGTCGGCTGAACGGAAAAAACGATCAAGTTGTCTGCCTGAATTTCGAATCATATCATCGTATCAAGCATGCCGCTGAAACTTCAGATGTGCAAATAAGAGCGAATCGCAAGATATTGAAAATCGACGCCACTGCAGTGCGTCGCGGCGCTCGTTGCCTAGTTTAGTTTCACCCCACCAGAATGGCGTCTGCACACATTTTTTTCCATAAAAGGGCCTAAACAGTATCGCAATCGAATGGATACGGTAATTTGCTTCCTAATGAAATAACATTCTTGACAAGATAGCGCATATTAACTACGTTCACACAAAATCAGGTGAGTGCCCACTATTTTAAACCTTAGAATTAGCATTTGCTTTGGTGCCTGAGCGTTTGTTTCCCCTACTGTAGTTTGTTTCTCATCCCTCCTTTTACTGAAGGAATTATTTATAATAATTGAGGTGCATAAAGTATGGCAGTTGTCTTTTTTGATCTTCCTGGTTTGTAAACAAAATCTGCAGCAAAAAGTAGGTAAAGGATAGCTAGCAATCGATAGATTTTTGGGTCAATGGCAAAGCATGAGCTTGCGATGTGTATGGGGGATGCTGTGAGGGAAACTTATATGGGATCGTCATTCTTGAAGGGGGATCAGATGTACAAATAGCTTCGGAAATCCCTCATACTCTTACATGCGCAGGGTGATTTTCCAGGGGCTTTATTCGCAATTCGCGATTATTTCTATGGTGATTTTCACCGGAGTGATATGCGCGCGTTGATCTGTTCGCGTTTGTTTGAAATTGAACAGTTATAATTCACATGTTTTGGTGTGTAGTGAATTTTTTGGAATGAGTTTTAGACAGATCGTGGCTTTTCCCAAGCATAATTACAAGCAGTACCAAGGTATACCTATTCGAATTTTGAACTCACATTTTTGATAGTATAAGACACTACATATTCATTAATTGTGCCCAAGAAGGTACATTGCAGTGAATTTTCGTTGTAAAAAAAATTATCTCTTAGAACAACTTGGAAATTTGAAATGACTGATGTCAGAACAATGAAAGAGACATTCTCATAAATAATATACCTACTTACTAATGTTTTTTTTATGGATTGATATCAATGAAAGATATAATACAGTTTTCGATATATCAGCATTGATTTTGAACGAACCCTAGGTATATAGGTAGATAATTTCTACCATGATGTAACATTTTTTCAGAAACAAAAAATATAACAAATAAAAATAGTGCAATAGTCCCATATAGTATCATTTTTTAATTATAACATCTTTGAAAATGAATATTCTCAGATATAATTATGAACATAAAAATAAATATATGAAGAAATACATTGAGAATTCGCATTCTCCATGTGATGAAAATATCAATTCTTTCTCGGTTTATTCAACAAAAAAAATATATAACATCTTTATTTGAAAAAAGTTGATACCTTGTTTTTGGATAAAAAAATGGATATATATACAGGGTGGTCCAGGTTAAACGTCATTAAATTTGATCGGCGATAGAAAAACGGGAAAGAACTAGACTTTCATAAATTAACTTTGGTTGAAAATGCTTCCTAACAGAGATATATAGGGTGTCAGAGTTTTGACGCCTCGATTGAGTTCTCGACGGGCCGCGTTAGGAACACAGGAACACAGGAATGAGTACTTTATAGAGATCATTGAAAGCCATACTACTCACAGCCTGTACAGAACCTCAAATATTTTAGCCTTTTTGCAAGTATCTTAAAAACGAAGCCATGAATCAAAAATATGCAGAGGTATTTTAATTCTTCAAATTGAACTAGGAATCAAAAAATCGAATCTTGTTGTAAAATATCCAGTGAAACCGAAGATAAGGAGAGGGAGAAGGAGATGTCGACCCCCATTATCTACGCCACTGAAGAGTTTCTTCAAATGACCTCAATCATTACTCAGAGATGTAGTACATTAGTCTGTGTGCGGAATTTTATCGGAATCAGTCGGGTGGTTTGGAAGTTATGATGAGAAATACAATTTTTGCCCAAAACTTTGACACCTTGTATCTTTGTTAGGAAGCATCTTCAACCAAAGTTTGTTCATAAAAGTCTACTTCTTTTCCGTTGTTCTATCGCCTATCAAAATTAAAGACGTTCAACCTGGACCACCCTGTATAAAGAAATACATTGAGAAAGAATTGATATTTTCATCAATGTTCATGATGAATATTCCTTTTTAATAATTTGATACCTGTTTCAATGAATTTCGCTCGGAATTTCGTCATAATGAAAACATTATATTTCGAAAAAATAGAGTGAAATGTGCAATTGCAGGCATGCAATTTTGCCTTGAAGATTAGTAAATACAGATTGTGATTGAGTCGTTGAGTATAAAGATTTATTTGGTTTTCAAACTTTAAAAAAAATTAATCGAATAAGGTAAATTAGATTAAGGTACAAGATTTGGGCCGTGAAAATGGCGCATTCGGCATATTTTACAAATGACCAATAGTACCAAGCGCAAATCTAACATTTTGGAACATGAGCAATTGATTCATCTATACAGGGTGTTTCAAAAAAACCTGACTCCCTTACTAGGGTAGGTAGAACACTGCAAAATAAGTTGGGTTTACTTAGTGAAAGAATTTCGTAACGGCATCCGTTATCAAGATACAAGGTGTTGAATAAATGATTTTTTTACACATTTTTCAAGATTATGTCGAAACTACTGGCACATTGTAGTGACATTTTGTATGGATGTTTCTTAGAATCTGA